CCAGTGGCTTCCATCTGTCTTGCTAAGGAGTTTGGAAGTCACCGCTCCATCTTACTAAGTCAAAAACTGGACAAAATGAAAAATCAATGACTCTTCCTAGATCTAGCAAAGATGCAGACTCCAATACGGCAGGGATGTTACAATGAGCAGACGAGGAGCTGAAAACCACTGGGACTGACAGATTAACGGTCTAAGAGACCAAGCAGACAGCATGCAAGAGCAGAGGAGCCGTGCATCCGAGAGGAGGGAATTCTCAAAAAGAAGGAAAAAGGATGCCAGAAATCCAACTATTGGAACAAAAATGAAAACACGCCTCAGATGAGTTCATTAGGAGACTGGATATAGCAGAGGAAAGAAATCTCTACATTTGAGGATATCAAAATAGAAATTTCCAAAACTGAAAAGCCAAGAGATTTTTTTTTAAAAAAAAAAAGACTGAAAAAACTAAACCCAGCATATCATGAGAATTGTGATATAATTATAAAAGGTGTAACTTCCATGTAAACGGAATATCAGGAGAAGAAATAAAGAAAGGAACAGAAGCCAATTTTGAAGCAATAATCACTAGGATTTTTCATGAATTTTTGTCAAAACACCCATCACAGATCCAGGAAGTTCAAAGAACACTAAAACAGGACATGCTACCACCACTGCCTACGTAAAACCATGCCTGGGCACGGACATTCAAACTGTGGGCCATCAAAGGTAAAGAAAAACCTTGACCGAAGTCAGAAAAAAACAAAACAAAACCATAACAACAACAAAACCCCACCTCACCTCCACAGGAGCAAAGATAAGAATCATATCCGACTTCTCAACAGAAATCCCACAAGGAAGAAGAGGTTTACAGGTGAGTAAGTCTCCTGATGCTCTCTGGGACAGCCGTTTTCCAGATAGATCTCAACCTGTTTTTCTATTATCACACTGTGATCATGCATGACTGCAAATCTATTAAAGTGAGTTACCCAGGATCATCCAACCACGACTCAGGACCCAAAATGGCACGTGATTGATTATCTTCAAGGCCCCACTGAGTGTCAGGTGTCTGTGGATTGGATCCAGTCGACAGGAGAAACCTGAAGGTGAATGCAGAGTAGGAGTCATGCACACAGGATGGCCAGGAGTTTGAAGATTCTAAAATGAAAAGAAATTCATGCTGAGAACCTTGTGAAAGGAAAGAGCCTTGGAACTGAGATTGCTGCAGGAGGCCTGGGCGGCCCCTCTGTGAGGACAGCAGGCCACGGTCATTGAATTCAAGCCTGTGTTCCCTCCTTCAGTTCACAGGTTCTGTCCGTCCTTTCCGTCCCTTCGTGGACACTGTGCTCTCCATAGGAACCATGGCCAAAGGGTTGTTCCAGCCGCACTGCCGGCTTCCTTGTCCTTCTGTTTGTTATTTTGATACGGTGGGAATATGGTTTATTATTTTGATATGGTGAGCAGCAGTAAGACTGTTAAACTTCTCTTACACACATTTGGAAACCAAGTCATTAAAAATCCTGAGATGTGACAGGATGGGAGGGTGATTTCTCAACAGAAAACCTAATACAGCTGGGCATGGTGGCACACATCTGTAAACCTAGTGACTAGGGAGGCTGAGGCAGGAGGATTGCAAGTTCAAAGCCAGCCTCAGCGACTTATCGAGGCCCTAAGCGACTCAAGAGAGACCTTGTCTTAAAATAAAACATAAAAAGGGTTGAGATATGGCTCAGTGATTAAGCATCCCTTTGGTCAATTCCTGGACTAAAAAAA